AATAATAATAATAATAATAATAATAGAAATGATGCCAACTAGCAGTGCTAAAGCATGCTTTTATACTTAAAGCAAAATGTTATGCAAGAAAATAAATACCTAAGCCCTGCTGCTACAACCACTTGCCTTCACTGCATTTTTTCCCATCATGAAGTTCAAGATGTGTAGAAAGATAAAGAAAACTAAAAATTTCTAACAGGACCCTCAATATAATGTAAAGATCTATTTTATAAATGGTACTATAGCAATATTAAATATTTTAAATGCTTTATCATATGATCATTTTTACCAAATTATTAAGAGAATGGCTTTCAATATTAGTATCAAAACAAGATATTTACATCTAGTCACATGCACAGAAGTATAAATTTTTGTTTTTGTTAATGCTGAGCACAATGATGCTAAATGTGAAGTGTATTTATACTCCAAAATAGCATATTAAAAACCCAAAAGCATTCACCTTTGCTTAATTCTATTGGTTACATATACATTTCCAATATAACTGTTCTATATGTTATTTGTAAAATAATGATTATGTTATAATAATGATTTTAACATTTTCCTATTTGAACTTACACTGTTTTTATCCAGCTGTAATCTTGGAGTTATGTACAAGTACACAGCCACCATCTTATTTTGTATGTATAGTCCAGAAGGGTAGAAAACAAACCAAACAAAAATCATGATTTGTAAATATGGTATATAATTTCATGCATTTTCATGATATCATGTCAATAATCAATTACAGTTAACCAACTGTAACAATGTATTGTATGCTTTAAATATTTAATAAAGAATACACTGTAAATAGTATCTTAATGACAATAGAATGTGCTGGTATCATATTAGACTGATGTGGTAGTAGTTTAACATATTATTGAAACTGAAACATAAAAAGAATAAAAGGTATGGATGTTCAGGGCCACTTTAAAGAATGTTTGTCTCTGAAGAAATGTCCAAAAAAGTGCATTTTAAGGGGATTTTTAATACCCAACAAGGAATTTCATGTAGTGATTTGAAAAAGTATGGGAACATATGAACAAAGCATAGTACTTTAAGATTTATCTTTGCAACAGCATGTTGACAAATATTAAACAATTTATCTACAGTTTGGGCATTAAAACAATCATAAAACCCAAAAATCCAACATTAATACTGATCTTCCATACCTAATTTGGATTTAGATATTTATTATTTTATATTTTATAAAATCATCAATGCTTTCATTGTGCTTACTATTATTCCTTAACTAGAAGCTTCAGTGAAATTTAAAAATCTGATGTAAAGAATAGTTATTTGCTTTCTTGAATATTTTATAATACATCATTTTGAATTAAACTTCAAAATTTCACAGCATGAAAGCTATGTGAATAGAGTACCCAAAATATGTTTCAATAACAGGCAGATTTTGTTTATAAGTATGAGAGAAGCACTTATAATTTTAAGATAGTAAGAAAGAAACAAAATATTATACATGCATATAAAAGGTGTTTTACCTCCCCTCCCTGGTAAGTGGCGGTAGTGCAGCCCACTGCAGCCCTTCCAGGGGGAGAACTAGCAGCGTCTCCTGAGATCCACACCATGTTGGAACTTAGGTCTCTGGGAAGCCAAGCCAGCCCCTCCCCTCCCTGGTAAGTGGAGGCAGGGTGGCAGATTGCAGCCCTTCCAGGGGGAGAACTAGCAGTGTCTCCTGAGATCCACGCCATGTTGGAACTTAGGACTCTGGGAATCCAAGCAAGCACCTCCCCTCTCTGGTAAGCAGAGGCAGGGTGGCAGACTGTAGCCCTTCCAGGGGGAGAACTAGCAATGTCTCCTGAGATCCACGCCATGTTGGAACTTAGGTCTCTGGGAAGCCAAGCCAGCCCCTCCCCTCCCTGGTAAACGGAGGCAGGGTAGCAGACTGCAGCCCTTCCAGGGGGAGAACCAGCAGTGTCTCCTGAGATCCACGCCATGTTGGAACTGAGGACGCTGTGAAAACAAATGACCATTCTGCCTCCCTGCTTAGCAATAGTGAACCTACTGCTACAGGGCCTAGAGTCAAATATCCCACTTCCCCTACCCTCCTTCTCCTTGCCCACCCCACCCATTAGCAAATGAGAACCAGAAATCTGAGCATCTCCTGGGAGGTTGACCACAGCAAATAAGGGGGACTTCCTTCTACCATTTCTTTGAAGGCAAATATTTTTATTACTGTTTTGCTCTTTTCTGATTAATGGTACTGCTCTATTCAATATTCTGTTTTGATAAGTTCTATAGTGTTCTATATTTCATCTCATTTTGATATACGGGATTGAAAGAACGACTATTATAAAGATAACAAAATATACTGTGATACCTATTACTGTTATCCCAGTAAACTGCTGTGAAGTTCTGTCCCAATTTCACTGTACGCTCTTAGTTGGCTTTATTTGATTTGTTCTGTTGTATACTTTCAAAATTAAAAAAAACAACAAAAAAAAAATAAAAGGTGTTTTAGGTCAAGCTATTTCTTAGTACAAATAATAAACCATGTCAATCAATTTCTCAATCACATTCACAAAATAATTACAGTTGCACTTTATAATTGTTGAAAGATATTTATATGGTAGAAGAAGATATAAGAAAATTTACAGAAAGAAAATCTCAAACTAATCCAAATCCTAAGAGATTTGCAAATTAAGAAACTATCTGTATTGCTTGGAAAGTGTGCCTTACTCATACTCTCAAATTCACTTTAACTGATTGATACATAATTTAGCTATGTAAAACTGTAACTAAAATTTCAGAATAGTACCTATCTTCATACGTATGTTTCACACAATATTTTCCAATTAAGAAGAAATCACTTGATAGTTTTAAGCACAAGTTACTATCAACTGACTAATATATTAATAATTTACTCAAAACTTAGATGACATACAGCCAACAAAAAGAATAATAGGCAATTCTTCACTGTACAATTCTATTAGTAATACCAAGCCAAGAATCTGACAATCCACTCAGGTAGATTATGTTTCCACATGCTACTGAGCAATAAAAAAGTACATGTAATATGTAAGCTTTTTTATTTCTTTTTTGAAGAGCAGCTCAATTATATGGGGGATTGATTAGCACAATACAGATAACACAGCAGAAATGTAGAAAATAGTATTTAACAGCAGTGCTAGTACTTATCTCATTATGGTAACAAATAAGAATATTATTAATTTTAGTTATTTGCATTTCTTAGAACATAAATCAAATAAATTAACTTGAACTTGAGTTATATACACAGCCTTATTTTTGTAAGTAATATTACATTTTAAAGTATTGGAAATAGTATGTGTTGATTTGTATTCTTAATGGAACAAGAAGATAACAACTTTCAACTAGGGAGAGTTGTAACAATAATAAAGCTCTTTAAAGTTCCAAATGTCTTCCTGTACCTTTGCACTCAGCATAGGCCATACAATATTCTGAGAGAATTTATTCTGAGAAAGTATCAATTACAGCTTTAGTAGCATACTTTGGAAGGAACCGATGAGAAAGAAAATTGGAAGGTGAAATGTCATTTTTGCTTTCAAATAAGTGGTCATCATTTTTCTTCTTTAAATCAGTTTATTGTAAATATATATCAAGCATTAATTTTTGCAGCTTTCACTTAAAGTCCAGCACTTTGTTTATCAAATTCTATGAGAAGAGGTCAAAATATATCATCTAATTCAAGTCATGACAGTGTCCATTTAGATCTTTGGCATAATCCCTTGCCAGTAAGACACAGCATGACTGGATATGTCACTGGTGATTAATAGAAGTGAGTTTCAAGGCTGGGAATTTAGCTCTGTGGCATAAGCACCTGCCTGGCATGTGTGAGGTTTTGAGTTCAATCCCCAGTATCAAAATAAAAAACAACAAAAAAACCCACCACAAAACCAAAAATAAACAAAAAAGTTCTTACCAGAAGTAAGTTTCAAGAACTGGGAAATTTCTGCTTCAGTTACGCATTCTTTAACAACTTCTTCATTAGCAAAAGTCAGTTATCCAGTGTTCCTTATGTCCTCATGATCTAAGATTTTGTAGAGTTTACTAGTTACAGAAATCATCTCCCTATACTGTCCACAACAACTATTACAAACTCTGTATTAATATAGTAAGTGTTCCAGAAAGAGCAAAGAAATTCTTGGCCACCAATATTCCACATCAAGAAACATGTATAATTAATCACTGTCTTTTCTACATTATTTCCTGTTGTAGGGGATACATGTACAACTTCATTCACAGGTAACTGGTAAAGGATAGTAGTTTTTTCCTGCATTATTCAAACCAGCAATGATAACTTTGTTTTACTGGCAATTGAACAGTCTCCATATCCTGATGAAGAGAATTTTCATTCTTGGGCAACAAAGTTTCTCCAGCCACCCAGGCCACCAGCCCTCCCCTGACTCAAGATGAGGGTAAGACAGACCCATTGGAGTCTCTGGGTCTGCTGCTACTTATCCCATACTGGCCACAAGCTGGCTGCTTACTTCAAGGAAACCACAGGGAAGCTAAAGGCTAGGCCACCCTGCCATGTCCAAGCTCCCTCCACTGTTGTGGCACTCATATGGCTTGTGAACATCCCAGCCACATTGTCAGAGATGAGTTATGCAGGCTTCTCCCCTCCTCCTAAAAGTCTTAAGTTATTGTAGACAAACAACAATGGGTATTGCATTTTAAAAACTGTCATTTGGTATTATCTTGACTACTAATAACATATATGGAAATATGTTACCAATATTAACGATATCTTTACTCTAACCAAGTGATTTAAATTAGCATACTTTTAAACTATATGAGTCACCAGCATTTGAGATAATGTCTTGAGTTTTATCTATAAACCAACTTAAACAAAACTTTGGGAGGATAATATATTCTTAAATGGTAACACACATATTACCCTAAATCATATGTAATCTTTATGTCCTCAAACTTTACGACTTATTTTGATGTAAGCCTCAAGCCTACCAGGCTTTATCTAGTAATGTTATAATGAGTTTACCTACCCTGAAAACTTATATGGATGGTCTGTCCATGGAAACCTAAAGAAAAAGACAAATAAAAAATGAAATTATTGAGCTCAGTAAAGACTTTTCTTAAATGAAGCAGCTGTGGAAATTTTAACCATTTATTAACAAACATTGAATAGACAAACATAGGGCTCAGATGTAGTTGAACTACAATAACCCTTTTACAATTTTTAGGTTTATAACTATAAGTTAACTAGTCAGGATATTTTATGTCAATTAACAGAGATATCGCTATAAAAACCAGCAGGAAAAACTTTTTAAACCTTCAAAAACAAAGAAATTTTAAGACAGGCCCTAGCTGATGATTTATGTGATTTGAAAGAGCCATCTACAGAGGTTTTTTGTTGTTTAATAGTCACAACTGATAGCTGAAATTGCTGTTTTGATAGCCACATATAACTGTTCCCTCTAAAGCAACAAACTGTTAATTTTAACTGTTTCTAAGGGATGCTGAGGCCAGGTTTGGGTAGAGAAAGAGACTATGTGACACTCTTTGGAGCTGAGATTCCAAATAGTGGGAGAAGAAGGACTTCCAAGGCTTATTTATAAGAGTTTCTTCATATTTTGAAAACAAACAAAGGCAAATCAGGCATACCTATCTATCCCTCTTGCTCTGTACCTGATCTAAGAAATTTCTTAGTTTTAAAACTGTTCAGTGCCAGTGGCAGTAAACTAGAGGTGGGAGGAAGTGGCCTGAATCAAGTTAACCACTCTTAAAGTGTTACCTGCGTCCTTTTCCTCATAATCCTGTGATCCCTACACCATATTTAGCTATGAGCTTTCTTTTTTTAGAACTTCAGTTTGCATATCTCTGAAAATGTTGTCTGGCTTGAGAAGATGCTCATTCTTGAAACTTGTTCCTGAAATCCAGCAGCCACAGAGCCTTGGACAAAACACTTGTAAATTGTATTACTTTTCAGTAGCAGGACATTGGAGAAGGGACAGAAGAATGACTCTACGTATGGCACACAAGAACTAAATCCTAATGATCTGAAGGGCAGAAAAACAATCAAGATAAAGAGTGAAAGAGCTTTACCAGCTTTATATTTCTTAGCAAAATATACCTCCAGGGATGTAAGCTACAATTTTCTCCAACTGCATGGCTAAGCACAAAATTAAAACAATAATCAAAGAGCCCAAATATCTGACTTTTAACATTTAGAAGACAATAGAGAAAAATCAAAGGGCAGATTGGTACTGCCCCAACAATATTGTTTGGGGCTGAGGTTCTAATTGTTTAAGATCCTGAATCAGTGTTAAAAAAGAGATGTGTCACCTCCAGGGATATACAGAGGCAAGTAATGGCCCAGAAAAATCTCAGCCTCAGGGCCCTAGGGCAAAGAAGTCTGAGAAATTTCATAGTCTCTACTCAGTCATGTAGGCAACCTCCCTTAGCAGGAAAACATGACTGTTTTATTCAAAATCCACTGTAAATATTTCTTTCTCCATATCTGCAATACACTTATGAAGCTCATAGATTAAAGTCTTTACTTTGCTTAGCAACAACAAATGGTACATTAACAAAGGCACTTAGGTTATTTTCTTCCCTTCCCTACATACACAAATGATTAGCCTCAGACCTAGAAGGGAAGAGAGAGCCAGGAGTTTGGGGCCTTTTTGAGAGTGAAAAAGTGAGAGAGAAAAGAGAAAAGTAAAATATCAAGTTCCCTTTCTATTAAAGTCCATAGATGTTATCAAGTCTTGCATTTATAAAAGGCCATTTTTCTCTCATTTTATTCCCTAGACTAAATTCTATCTAAAATTCATTTCATAGCACTTTACCTATTGACATTTCAGTTAAAGGTTTAAGGTCCATTAGGAGAGCTCAAATGTTACTTCCTCCTATCACTGCTGCCTGAAATAAGACCACAACCCATCTCACAGTTGTGAAACAAGTCAAGAAAGGAGTGCAAGTAAATTAAGCAATAAGTCTAAATGCAGTATATACAAAACAGAAACATAAAGCACTGCCATTAAAAAACAAAAATGTCCCATTGAAGAAACCTAAATATAAAAACCTTGCAATCTTCTCTACTCTCAAATTTTAACACAGCTAAAGTAAACAACAATAGGTATAAACAACCAGTAAACAATGGACACTAATTTTAGATTACCTAAATGAGTCACAATCCAGAATCCAGTGGAAAACACTTAGGAGTGCCATGAAACAAAAGCAAATTTATACCTCCTTCCAAAGGTCTAATTAGGACCTCTAACATACAAGAGACAATACTTCCAATTTGGTAGATGTCAGATGTGCCAAAGTTGCTTTCCCTGAAATCAAAGAATGCATTCCAAAACACAAAGGAGTTTATGATAAAGAAAGGTTTACTGGTTAATAAGATGTGGAATAAGAATGAAGAATAGAAATAGCTCCTGAGAAACGGTGGGGAAGGGGGAGTCCAAAATGGATTGCCCTGAAGCATTTTAAGTTGATCTGATCCCAGTTATTAATTCTTGTAATATTTCCAGTACAACTAAAGTTTTGTTTGTAAGATCTTTGCCTAAAACTATGTCTTCTAGAGTTTTACCTATTCTGTCAGCAGATTAAGTTCCTTTGCTTTTGTATTTAAATGTTTGATCCATTTTAGGAATTTAGTTTCATGCCTGGTGAGAGATATGGGTCTAGATTCAATTTTCTGCATGTCAAAAATCAACACAATTTATTAAGGAGGCTTTTTTCCAGTGAAGGTGTTTGGCCTGTTTGTCAACGATAAGGTATTTCAGTGTGTAGTTGGTTCTTCATTTTTTATTCTGTTTCATTGATCCTTGGATAAAGTTTTTCATGTTTGGGTAATACCATGCTGTTTTTAACACCTTGGATTTGTAGTATAACTTCAACTTGGAGATGCCTCCTGCCTTGCCATTTTGCCCAGAATTGCTTCAGCTACTGTAGGTCTTTTCAGATTCTGTAGGAATTTTAGGGGTTTGTCTTTTCCAGCTTTGTGAGGTATGCTATGGGTATTTTGATTTGGGTTGTTTTAAATCTGTATAAAAGTCATGGAAGTATGGCCATTTTCACTGTACTAGTTCTGCCTATCCAAGACTAGGGGATACCTTGCCATTTTTTGATATCTCCTCCTATCTCCTTTATCAGTACAGTAGGTTTCAATGTATAAGTCTGATTACTAAATATTCCATTTTTCTTTATGCTATTGTGAAAGTATTGTTTGCATAAATTCTCTCTCAGTGAGTTTCTTATTAGTATACAAAAATGCTGTTGACTTTTGAGTGTTGACTTTGTATTGTACTCCACTGAAAAATTTAGCTATTAATTCTAGGGGTATTTTGGTGGAGTTTTGGGGTCTTCTATGTACAATACCATGTCCTCTGCAAATAATGATGCTTTAATTTCTTTCTTCCCTATCTTTATTCTTTTATTTCTTCTGTCTAATTGCTCTGGCCAATGTTTCCAGAGGTGTATTAAACAGGAATGGTGATAATGAGCATCCTTACTTTTTCCCTGATTTTAGAGTTAAAACTTTCTGGTTTTGACCATTTAGAATGATGTGGGCTGTTGATTTCTTATAGATGGCTTTTAACAGATTGAGATAAAGACCTATTCCAATTTTCTGTAGGGATTTTTAAGCATGAATGGGTGTAGGACTTAGCCAAATGTTCTTTCTGCAACTATTGAGATGATAATGTGGTTATTGTCCTTGGCTCTGTTAAGATAATATATTACATTTATTGATTTGTGTATGTTGAGCAATACCTATACTTGTCATTTTGTATAATATCCTTGATGCATTTTGCTTGCCAGCATCTTACTGAGGATTTTTGCATCTGTGTTCATTAAAGAGATTGGTTTGTAGTTGTCTTTTTTGGTTGGATCCATAGCTGGCTGCAGTATCAGAATAATGCTTGCCTTCAAGAATGAATTTGGGGGTAATGCTTTCTCTTTCAATTTCATTAAAGTGTTTGAGAATTAGTGTCATTAGATTTTCTCTTGTAGAATTCAGTAGTGAATCCTTCAAATGCTGAGCTTTCCTTTGTTGGTATTTTATTACTTCAATTTCATTGATTGATATTGGGTTATTTGGAATGTTTATATATTCTTGATTCATCTTTGGTAATTCATAAATATCTAGGAATCTGTCCATTTCTTTTGGGTTTTATATCTTATTAGAGTGCAGGTCCCTGAAATAAGTATTAATGATTTTCTGGATTTCTGCAGGATCCACTGAGATTTTGTTTTCAGTCCTAATTGTATGTAGTTGGGTGTCTTCATTACTTTTAAAAATATATATAAATATATAACATATATATAAAGATGACTAGAGATTTGTGTATTTTATATAGTATTTCAAGGAACCAATTTTTTGATTTATTGATTCTTTGTATTGTTTTCTTAGCCTCAATTGTATTAATTTCTATTCTGATCTTTGTAATTTCCACTCTTTTATGTATTGTGTGGTTAGACTGCTATTTTCTTTCTAGAAACTTGAGGTTGAACATTATATTATTTATTTGAGCTTGCTGTATTTCTCTGATGTGGGATTTCACTGCTACAAAGTTCCTTCATAAGACTGTTTTCATTGCCTTCTATAAGTCCCATTATGTCATATTGGTATTGCCATTTAGTTATAGAATCTGTCAAATTTCCTCTAACTTCATTTCTGACCCATCAGTTGTTCAGGGGGCTGTTTTTTATTCCCACATGTTTATGTAGTTTTTCTGGTTTATTTTGCCTTTGACTTCAAGAATCATTGCACTATGATATGATAATATCCATAAAATGATTTCATTTCCTTTGCATTTAAATAAGCACATTCTATGAGCTAGTAGGGTGTAGTGTATTTTTTAGGAAGATCTTTGTGCTCCTGAGAAGAATGTGAATTTTGTTGTTGGGTGGAACATTCTGTACATATCTACTAAGTCTATTTGTTCAAAGCTTTGATTCAGTGCTAATTGTTTGTCTGTTTGGTCTGTCTTTTGTGACACTGAGGTATTGAGGTCCTTTATTAAATTTTTATTTGGTGCTTATTGGATTTTTCATATCTACAGTATTCATTTTATATAGCTTGTGTCAGTATTTGATACATATATATTTATGATTGTTATCTTTTCATATTGGATTTTCTCTTAAGAAGTATGTAGTGGCATTGTCTTCAGATCAGTCTTGGCTTGAAATGTACTTTGTGTGCAAATAGTATAGCTATCTCTGGTTTTTTTTTCCATCTTCCTGTGATATGGAGTGTTATTTTATCCTTTCTCTTTGAGTTTATGAACTTATTTTTGATTTAGTGTGTTTCTTGTATGCACCACATTGTTGAATCTTGTTTCCTGATCCATTCTGCCAATGTTGTTTTTTTGATTGATAAGGTGGGACCATTCACATTGATGGTTATAAATGACATGTATTGACTCATTCTTGTTTTGTTATTTTGCTGTTGTTGATTCCCTTTCTTCCCCTTTTGTAGCTGCTTGCCTTGCCTGGTGCATTCTATTGAGATTCATGGAACTGCTATCTTTTTCTATAATATTCATAGACAATTTTAGAGAATTACTTTTGTGTTTATGAATTTCTTTAGGTGTTATTTATCATGGAAGTATCTTATTTCTTCATCAATTTTGAAAGATATTTTTGTGGAGTACATCAATCTGTGTTGGAGATTTTTATCTAAAGCTTGAGATACTTTACTCCAAGCTCTCCTTTACTTGAGGGTGTGTTACCAACTCTGCTGTGATTCTGATTGGCTTTCTTTTATAAGTGACTCATTTGTTTTCTCTAACCACTTTTAATATTCTTTTCTTGTGTTGAATTTCTGGAATCTTTTACATGCATTTATGTAGTATTTTTCTGATCATATATATACTTCACTTGTCTGTATGTCAAATTATATTTCCATGCTTTGGAATTATCTACTATTACTTCTGTGAGCAGGTTTTTTTAAAATGACCTTTGTGTTATCTTTTGATTCATTGATCCCAGTTAATCTAATATTAGTTATGTTTGCACCATCAATTATTGGATTTATTTTTCACAGTCCCTTCCCATTTGAAAGAGTTCTTTCATTTAATGATTGCCAAGTCCAACCCTATCTTGCTGATCTGATATTCTGTCTTCACATTTTGTATATTTTCTGTAGAATTTTTAATGTCCTGGATTTTTATTTTTATGTGTTTTATGGAATCCAGTTATTTTCTATTTTTACCATTGATGGTCTCCATGTCTTTTCTATGTTCTTCTAATTTTTTGTCTATATCTGTTCTAGATTCACTTGCAATTTCCTGCATTATTGTCATCAACTTGTTTTTGTCCAGAGGTTTATTGATCTGCTTTTTCCTTCTTCTGCTACCAATTTATAAAATTCAGCAAGGCCATTTTTCATTTTTCTTACTTCCATGCTACCTAGATTGGCGTTAGTTGAACTGGGGGGTTATAGGTTATATCTTGTGTCCATTTTCTAATTTTCTTTCTTTTTTTTTTTTTTTTTTTTTGCTGTTTTCTGCTTTGAAGCTTGTAAACTGCATATTGTAGGGGTTTTTTTAGTACTATTGAGGCCCCTGTAGCAAATAACTATTTTTCAGAGATATCTTTTTCTTTTAGGTTTGTATCTGGCTTTTGGCTTTTGTGGCTGTCCCAGTTATTAAGTTTGAAGTGTTGCTGCCTCTTTGGCCCATCACTCAGTTCTTTGATACTGGATTACAGTATGGTTTATGACACCCAGACAATCTAAGTATTGCATAACTATGTCACTTTGGCTAAAGTAGTACAATCAGTAATAACAGTAGCATGAAGCCTAGACTAGAAAACTATAAACTGCGCACTCAGATTATGAACAGGCCAAAAAACCCAAATACTTACAGACGTTTAGCTGATCAATCGGTGAAAAAATAATTTGGAGGGGGTCCCCCATTAATCCCAGACAATCCCCCAAATCTTGTAATGCACAAATGAGCCCCCAAGCTCAAGTTCAAAAAATAAGGCAAAAACATATTTTAAAAAGCAGCACTGATTTATTTTACCCTGGGCCCAGCAGCACAGTGCAGTAGGAGATTGCAAAACCTGTGTCTGACCTAACTTGCCCCCCCCACAGTACCTATCACAGCTCCTAAAGTAAAGGTCATGGGCATGGATCAGGAGATAGGCTAATGGGGAAGATCCTGTTTTCCTCAGCAGAGAATAGAGAAGTCTAGCAGCAATTAACAACCTTTGTTTCCCTTAGGAGAGGCCAGGGAAGTCTCCTGGGAATTTACAATTCTTTCTTTACAGAGGACAGCATTGAGTAACATATCAATTAGGTCACCCAGAGGTTCTCCCTGGGGGAAGGGAAACATATATACAGTAGGGCCACATTACAGATATTTTGGTATAATACAAATATAACAAAGCTATTTTTTCTAGAGTACAACAATAACTATTAATTTGCCAATTTTATTTATAGGCACATGATCTATAATTAATGACAAAATCTAAAACAAATCAGACAAATACATGCAGTAAATATTCACTTGAAATAGCGATTTTACCCTACAAGGTGAAAACTTAAAAGTGGTAAGAGGAAAAAACAGATAAATTATAAATAAAGAGGTTAAAATCAAGACTGGAAGACAAGGGAAGTTTATCCAAATCTTAGGAAACTGGTAAAGAAGGCAGGAGTAGGAAAATATGAAAGGAAATAATGAAGAACAAAACAATATAAAAACTAAAAACAACATTCACTCAAAAGTAAAAACAAGCAAATCAAAGAATACATATTCTCTGTGACTTTAAGCTTGTGGTTATCTGCTGAGGTATGTAATTTTGTTTTAGTACCCAATTAGAGACATTCTTCTGCTTTTACTGGTATAAAAAGAAGGCAGTCAGAGCCAAGTTCCATACAAGATAATCACAGAAAGACTGCAATAGGAATAGTGCAGGATGCTGGTTCAGGTATGTCTTAGTTACATCTACTCATCACTGAGACAAAATAACTAAAGCCCAAAGTGGGGAAAACAAATGTTTATTTCTTACAGTTTTTGGAGGTTTCAGTCCATACTCATTTGGCTCCAAGGCAGGCTGATATGGCAGGGCTGCAGTTCCTGGAAGCTGCAAACAGCAAGCTGGAAACAGCAAAAGAGCAAGACACACTTACTTCCTGCCATTACATTACATCCTGGCTCCACCCTGATGTGAGTGTAGCACTGACACCATCAATCCAAATACTAGACAATGAACCACTCACAAATGCATAATTCAAATGCATGAGGCCTGAGGGCCACCCACATAAACCATGACATTACATCCCTGGCCCCCAGGATTCATGTACATCCTTTATACAAAAAAATTTAGTCCATCTCCAAGAATTGCCAAAGTCCTAACAGTTTCAGCATGGCTGAATAGTCCAAGTCCCAAGTCTCCTCCAAGATCTATGGCAAACTCTTAACTGTAACCCCCCATACAAATGAAACAAGGTGAAACATTTCTGAAATGCAAAGGCACAAGGTAAACATTACCATTCCAAAAGTTACAAACAGGGAAATACAAAGCATTGGAAACAAAGCAAGTTCAACATCTAGCAGGACAAACATTAAGTCCTAGAGTTCCATGCTCAGCCTCTGAAGAAATCTGGTTGCAAGCTCCAAAAGGCTTGGGTGATTCCACCCCAGTGGCACTTCCAGTGATTTCAACTCCTGCAGCTTTTCTCTTAAATCCTCTCTGCTCACCTTTTGCAGCTTTCCTTGGATCATCCATGTTCTTGGCTTTTCAAAACTTCTGTGGTCTCCACTGCACCTTTGGCTTCACCCTTCCATCTTCACAAATTGCCCTCTCAGGGGCACACAGCTTGGCCTCCCAGGCTCTTTACAATAGAGGGGGAAGTCGTCTTACCCCCAGAATTTGTGCATATTCCTTGCACCTAAAATCAGCACCTTGTGGATGCCACCAAGGCCTGCTGCCAGCTGAATCATTAGCCAGGCTTTTCTCTCTCTTGGCTCTAAGGGTCAATTGCCTGGATCATTGGGCTCTGTGAACCTGATTGCAAAGAAAAGCTTCTCTATTTTGCTGCCATTCTGGAACCTCATGTGGCCTCTGTCATCATTCTGGAGCATGGTGCTCTGCAGCTTTCTACTCTGAGAAAATTCTTTCACCTTTGCAGTGAGGTTGCAAAGGGTGGGGACCTGCTTCCTGGGATTCCCTGGGGCCATCTTTCTTATCTCTCTTTTTCTCCTCAGCAATAAAAATCTCAACACTGTCTTTATAGTCCACAGCATTCCTGGAATTTTCCTTCTGGCCAAACTTACAGTATTGCAAATTATCCTGCTGGGTGCTTTGTTCTTGATTCTGAAAGCCCCCAACAATAGCCATGCCACAGCCTCAACATTGGATTGCTTTTTAATTTCTTTTTCAAGATTAATCAGTCTATTGCCCTTTGTCTCAGTCTCAGGCAAAGTCTCTGGGCAGGAGCAAAATGCAGACAAACTTTCTGCCAAGCCATAACACACATCATGTGGAGCCCAACAACCAATACAGTCCTTCTTCCCAGCAGAAACCTCCCAAGCCTGGTCTTTACCATGAAGCTTTCTATCAGCCTTCTGGTCTCTGGAGCTCTGACCAGAAGCTCCTCTACAGAACAGCCTAAGCTGCTACAGCTCTATGCATCCAGGCGACATGTCTGAACCTTTCCAAATTCTGTCCACAAGCCATCTCTAAAGCCTCTCAAAAACATGGTCAGATATAGTCACAGCAGATAACCCCACTCTTTAGTACCAAATTCTGTCTTTATTACTTTTTACTCATTGCTGAGACAAAATGCCTAAATCCCAAAGTGGGGAAAGGAAATGTTTATTTCTTACAGTTTTTGGAGTTTTCAGTCTGTACTCATTTGGCCCCAAGGCAGGCTGGCATGGCAGGGCCGCAGTTCACAGTGGATGCAAACAGCAAGACAGAAACAGGCAAAAGAGCAAGACATACCTTCTTCCTGCCATTGCATTACATCCTGGCTCCACCCCTATGTGGGTGGAGCACCATCAATCTAAGCACTATACAATGAACCATCACAAAGGCACAATGCAAACTCATGAGGCTTGTGGGCCACAGACATAAATCACGACAAAGTACTTTGAAAATCTACAGAACTTTAGGCTGATCTTATTTTCTGGTAATGGGATGGGGACTTTAGTTTTCCAGTTGCCCACACTTTGGATGTCTATGTTTATTATAACCATGATTTCTGGCCTTGGATATCTCTTGTGGTTGTTCTTCACTCAATCACTGTGGGATTTCAACACTGGTAGCCCTGAGATGAAGCAAACCCACAACTGCTCTGTGTCCTGGGTTCATTTGGCTTTTTCCTAAACTGGAATCCCACAAAGCACACTCTCCAGTGGCTATGGAAGTTGTTTGAACTGGAGTCACACACCAGTTGTAGCACCTAACATGCAGGGTTCCAATCTACTGATCTTTGTCCTTGCAAGCCTTTGGAGTCATGCCCCTCTGTGTCCCTGTAGATTCAATCCTCCTGTCTCAAACTATGAGTCATGAGGTGGGGTTGAAGTGCAAATTGCCACATCTTTTTTCTGCATTTGGATCCGACCCTTCACTTTCTCGGTAGGCTCCAATTTTCCCTTAGATTCTTATTGGGTCCTGAGGATATTATGTTCCTCTTTCTTTTCTTCACTAAGTTGTTATTTTTCTGTGCGTGTACATCAATACTTGGAGAGGTTGATTTGTTGCTGCTTATTATTGTCACATCTTCCCAGAAGTCCTGACAATGTCTTTCGAAAAATAAAACATACATTTACTCAGGCTCTGTGTCTAGGAATACTTAAGTTAACATAATCAGTTTTCCTCTACATATCAAAAAATTCAGAAATTGTTTCACTTTATTGACTCAATGGCTGCAACAAGAACTCTACCTAGTGGCATCCTTTTCTAAAATGTTAGATGAAGTTGTTGCTGGATGGCCACCCTGCTTGAGAGTAGTAGCAGCTATATCTATGTTAATAGTAGTTGTAAAATCTCACATTGTGGCAAAAGTAGATATCTTGATTCTCCACCAGTGCAAAGACAAAATATACTTTTGGTTGATAATACAAATGGCTTATTATCAGGTCATGCTTCCCTAATATAAAGACTCCGCTAGTATCAATTCTGCCTTACTGATGTCTACAGTTCCAGTGTTAGCCATTCTTGTGATTTCTTAGCTCTATGCAAGCAGCCAGGACAACAGCAATCTGACCTACAAGACCTCAAGAAAGTCTGGTTCACTCATGGAAGCCGCTTTGTCTATGAAGCACTTCAACAGATAGGTTATGCAATTGTCACTTTGCAATAGGTTACTGAGGCCAAACCCTTTCCCCTAGGGACTTCTCAAAAATCAGAGCTTATTGACCTTAATTAAGCATTAATATTTGGAAAAGGCAAAAAGATAAATATTCGCACTGCCTTTCTGTTTCACATGCCCATTCAGCAATCTCAAAAAAGGGCTTGTGAGCTAATAACTTATCTATAAAGCACAAGCAGGAAATTCTACAACTCTAGAAGCAGTCTATCTTCCTAAGCAGATAAACCTATTTGAGACATTGTATAGGATCCCTTTTTGTCTTCTGCTATTGTAGTAGATCCAGAGACCACAAGACTATTATTCTACCTGTTTATCTAGTCCAAGTACAACAGGCTGTCCAACTGTATGGGAACAAATTGTTGTCAAATCCAAACCCAGAGGGATCACCTTGTGTCCATTTGGAGACCAAGTGTTAATTAAGATTTGAAAATATGGCATCCCTGAAGAGCAGTTAAAACCAAAATGGAACAGTTCCTTTCATTAACTCTTCCCACATCCATTGGAGTAAATGTGGCAGAGACAGCTTGATTCATCTTTCTAGGATAGAACCAGCTATAGTTGAACTGTATGAGGAAAAAGAACACACAAAGCAAAAAAAGTTACTTCTGTGAGCCTCTGGATGACCTGAGGCTACTTTTCAAACAGCAAGTCTTCAGTAGTAATCCAAATGCAGATAAGTAGTGTCTGTGACCTATAAACCACTGAAGTTTAAATATAGTAGTGGGACTCCTGTTTTTTGTTTGTTTGCTTTTGGTACTGGGAATCAAACACAGGACCTCATGCTTTCCAACAGGCACATATGCCACTAAGGTAATTCCACATCCCCAAGGACTCCTGTTTTTAACACAGTGTAGGTAGTTCTTTTAGGCCTACAGCTCTCAGGTACTTAGTTCCCTAATATCCCTCTTTTCCATACTTTTTCCATCATAGAAAGTGTGTAAATATGATATACTCCTTCTCATACTTAGGCTATACATCCTCAATCTAATACTAAAGTTACTTACTGACAAATTCACAAAGTTTTTTCCATTGAACAGGCCTCTCAAAATTACTCCACATGTGGGTACCAAGTCCTTTCTTATTGTCTTTTGACAGGATTTTCTCAACTCAGCTAGTGTCATAATATTCTAAAACATTTGGAAAACACATAATGTCCAGTAGATAGTGCCTACAGTACCTTTCATCCAGAAGTAGCTATATGAAGACATACAGCTCCACAGATTCATCAACCCATAACAAACTATGTGGAGTTTAAATCCCTCAGGTGTAGGAATTTGGCTGGGCAAGTGAATGTGGCCTGTTAGTCTTGGAGATCCAGAACACATGCACAGAACAGTGTCTAAGCCCTGAATCTAGTACCAATCTATGAGTGCTATCTTCACTTCTTCTGGCACAAGATCGAACTGGTTTTCAATAGAAAGGCTTAGATCTGACCTCAGAAATGGGGCATACAAGACAGCTGCCATTGATCTTGTGGACATCACTTTCTTTCTTTCTCAGTGGACTGCTCTGATCTCTTAGAGAGAACGTCATTTCCTACTTTAATTGGCCCACATTCTACAGAGTACACTTTCTTTCCTACTTTTAATATCTTTAATACATTTAATGCACTGATACCTTTTGGACATTTTTGTCCAATTCTTTGTTCACAACAAGAATAAAAAAGGCCCAGACACTGATAAAAGATCTTTGTGACTTACATGGAGAAACTAATAGGTAGTTTGCCCTTGCAAAATAGAAGGATGTGTGACTTTGAGTAGAGCAAATTTCTTAGCTTAAGGAAATTCCTGGGAAGGGAATTAGTTGTGAATTTTGAAAAATAATATTCCAAGCAGCTGCAGGAATGAGTGCTTAAGTCCTTTATATGGAATGAATATGACACACCATAGTACTGTTATCCATCACATTTTCCTTCCTTTTGATTCAATCCTTCACTTTCATACTACCATCTTTTTTTTTTGCCTTTTTCCTTTTTATCGGTACCAGGGATCGAACTCAAGACTGCCTGCTTTCAAGGCAGGCTCTTTTGCAACTGAGCTAAATCCCCAGCCCCCCATACTACCATCTTTAGTTTCTTTTCAGTTTCTTCCTGAACTCCCTCCTGTTTTCTTCTCTCTCCTTCCCCTTTCCCTACCTATCTTTACCTTTTTTCTTTTTGTTTCTTTCTGTATACTGATGAATGAAAGCAGGGCCTTTACATTGAGCTACATCCTCAGCCTCTGCTTTTTTTGAAACAGGATTTCGCTAATTGCCCATGTCAAATTTGAACTTGTAGTCTTCCTGTCTCAGCCTCCCACAATCCTGGACAGGCATGTGCAACTGTGTCTGGTTTATTTATTTTTTGTCTTTTTGAGACAGGGTCTCACTATGCAGTTCAGGCTGGCCTTGAACTCACTTTGTAGCCCAGGCTGCTCTTCAACTCACAATGATCCTCCTGCTTCAGCCTCCCGAGTGCTGGGATTACAGTCATGTACCACCATGCTTGGCTCCTGTGCCTGGTTTTGAGTGGTTTCTTTCACTCATCCCATGCCTTGCTCTTCACTAGTAAGGATTCAGCAGACTTGTGCTGTCTTTATCTTCAGTTTTTTGTTTGTTTGTTTGTTTTTTTTGTCTTTTTCTTTTCTATTGGTACCAGGGATCGAACTCATGACTGCCTGCTTGCAAGGCAGGCACTTATGCTGCTGAGCTAAATCCCCAGCCCCTCTCTTCAGTTTTGAAACAAAATTTTGTGGATGATTAAGATCTACAGGCACAAAGAAATGAGGGCAGCTGACTAGCCACTATGACCCGAGAATCATAATATCTCAGTAATTAATAATCATATTTACAAATTCTCTTTTATACATGTTCTACTGTATTATATAAAACCCACATGTCCTTTCCCATGTACCATACCAAGAATTGTTTGGGATCTACAGAGAAGGTTTTGTACTCCATAAGTAAATTGACTTCAAACAGCTTCTAATATGTATGTGAAAGTAATTACATTTTTTTGAAACCTCAATATTTGAGAACATCATGGCGTTATAGTTTGCATCTCAAATCTCTCTCAAAAAAGCATGTATTAAAGGCTTCATTGCCAGCTGATGGGCTTTTGGAAGGTGACAGGACATTAAGGTTCTAAATTCATCAGTGAATTAATCCAATAATGGACTTACATTTGATAGCATTACTGGATGGTGGTAAAATCCTAGGACAGTGATGGCAAAACTTTTAGAGACGAAGCCCCTGAACTGTAACCCCAAACCTCCTTATTAATCACCAAGTGCTCCTATGTGTACTTTCATCCCATTCTTGGATGCTGGGATGTTGCTAAGGTGATTTGGCTCACATACCAACAGAGAGGGCTCTGTGTGCCCTCTCTCAACTGCAGCACACACACCATAGATTTGCCCCCACTGTCCTAGGACATCATACCTAGTTGAAAAGAGGGGGTCATGGAAGTATGACATTGGAAACTGTATTTTGTCTCCAGAATCCTCTGCCTTCTCTCAGCTACTGTCTTAGTTACTTTTCTTCTTGCTGAGACAAAATATCTAAATCCCAAAGATAAGGAAGAAAAGCTTTATTTAGCTCACAGTTTGTAGAGGTTTCAGTCCATAATTGGTTTGCTCCAAGGAAGAATGGCACATGGCCTGGTGCAACAGTTCATGGTGATGGAAGATAGTAAAAGCAATAAGATAGAGTACAAGACAATCCTCTTTCTCTCCCTTATATTGTATGTAGGCTACTTACCTTAGGATGGGTGTAGCACTCATAATCTTAATCTCAGCATTAGACCATGAATCAATCTAAAACTCTACATTCACTTGCCTCTGAAAAGCCTACCCTTATGACCACATGAAGCTTTGGGGGATATTCAGACACAACAGCTGCCATGTGTTGAACAGGTTTCCTCAACGATACTGTTCTACCATGATATTTCTTTTTTATTTTTAAAATTAATTCTATTGGTACATTTTAGATACATGTCTTAGGTACTTTTTACTCGTTGCTGAGACAAAATGTCTGAAGCCCAAGTTGGGAAAGGAAAGGTTTATTTCTTACAGTTTTTGGAGGTTTTAGTCCACACTCAGTTGCTACAAGGCAGGCAGGCATGGCTGGGATGCAGTTCACGGCGGCTGCAAACAGCAAACAGGAATCAGCAAAGAGCAAGACACACCTTCTTCCTGCCATTGCATTACATCCAGGCTCCACCCCTATGTGGGTGTAGCACTGACACCATCAATCCACACACTATACAATGAGCCATCACAAATGAACAATGCAAATTCATGAGGCCTGGGGGCCACAGACATAAATCATGACAATACACATAATGATAACATTCATCATATGGAATTTGTACCTGTACATGATATAGCTTGATATTTCTTCTTTCTCCTTTCCTCCCCTCCCTTCAATCCCTCTTCCCCTCCTTATTTAGAAAGCATTGTTGCAATTTTTTCCATCTCTTCCCTTGTTTTCTTTTTCCTTTCCTTCCTTTCTACCACCCATCTCTCTAGATTTCTTTCCTATTTGAGCATTTTCTTTTCTATTTCACAGTTAGGTGACATGTCCAGCTTTGTTTCTATATGATGATGCATTTGCACATTATACACTTTGTTTCCTTTTTTCCATTCCCCTCTATTCCCTTCAATTCCCCTTTCCCTCCGGTTATGAAGCTGTGCTTCCATTTTATCCTATTTTCTTATTTGCCTCACCACAGAACTAAAAGAAATGGAACCACCTGGCCATATAGTGAAACCTTTAAAACCATGAGCCATAATAAACCTTCCTTCCTTTGCTTTAATCAGGAATTTGGTCTCAGTGATGGAAAATTGTGTAACACACATGCATTAAGTTGTAAGAAATTATACTAAGTGAAATAAGCCAGAAAAAATAAGATATACTATATGCTCTGACTTATATTAATGGATCAAAGACCTGGTTTTTGAGTGAATAAACAGAGAATGGTGATTGTTCAGATTGGTCGCACGAGGAGACAGTGGTCAAATGTACAAATTTTGAGTTACAAAATGAGTTTAGGTCTACTGATTAGCATGGTGACTATAGTTAGTTAACTATAGTTAACAAACTGTATGTTTGATATTTGCTAAGAGAATAGATCTTGGGTGTGTTAATCAGACATGAAAAATGGTAACTATAAGAGGTGATGGTTGCTTTATTGTGGTAATCATGTTACAATATAAGTGCACATCAAATCATTACAAGGTACACCTTAAATATATGTATAAAATTTATTTGTCAATTATATCACAGTAAACCTGGAAATAAGCAAATAGAAAGGATTAGGCATTAAATAAAAAAGTTTTGTATGCAGCAGGAATAGACAGTAAACAATATAATTGGAAAAGATGCAAGAATAAACATTTTGAGATCTATAATAAAAGTCAAGGTGAGGTATACATCTGAAAGGTGATACAGATATTCATTTGAAAAGTAAATCATAGCATTTATTTATTGGCTATATTTTAATTAGAATATTTTTATAAGAAATTATAAGAAATTTAAAATTATAGTGCAGAGACTTAATCACCACAGTCAACTTGAATTAAGGGATTCTGGGGGTTTAGCCCACAAATGACTGCTAAAGATTTTATCAGAGAACAAAGTAGTAATATAAGATTATACTAGGGTTCCTTAGATCAATTGTATAGCATAATTTTTGGTTTATAATTTGAATATAATACTAGGTGAGATGCTCTTTGGCACATACATAAAGTACAGTAAAGGATGGTATGTAGTATGAAAATATAATGTAAAATAGGAGCACCCAACTATAAAAGACAAACACTAATGGACGTGAAAAACCAAATACACAAGAACACAATTGTAATAGGAGACCTCAAAACCCCACAGATAAATCAACTACACAAAAAATCAGCAAAGAAATAACAGAGCTGAATCACACCTGTGAACGAATGGACTTAGAGGATATTTACAGAGTGTTCCATGCAACCACATCAGAAAATACATTCTTCTTAGCTGCACATGGGAAATTTGCCAAAATAGACCATATATTAACTCATAAAACACTCTTAAGTAAATGTAAAGGAAGCAAAATTATCCCATGCATAATATCATATCATAGTCCATTAAAATTGGAAATCAATGGCAAAAAACCCCACAATATCTGCATAAATACAGGGAAATAAAATAACAAACTTCTGAACAACCAGTGGGTTACAGATTAAAATAAAGAATAAATAAAACAATATCTAAAATGAAAATGCAGAAACAACATGGTAACCTATGGGACACAATCAAAGCAGTTCTAAGAGGGAAATATATAGCAATAACTAATCACATCAAGAAAATGGAACAAGCACAAATATGTAACCTAATGCTACATCTCAAGCTTCTAGAAAAGGAAGAGCAAGTCAAACATAGAGCTCACAGAAGAGAGGAAACTGTTAAGATTAGAGCAGAAATTAATGCAATTGAAACCAAAAACACAGCACAAAAAATTAATGAATAAAAGACCTGGTTTTTGAGTGAATAAACAATTGATAAACCTCTTGCCAATCTTATCAAGAAAAAGAAAGAAAAACTCAAATCCATGCAATAAGGACTGAAAAGAGGGAAATTACTACAGATCCCATGGAAATTCAAAAGATCATGATGAATATCTACTTTGAAAACCGCTACCCACATAGAGAGGAAAACACAGATGAAATGGATAGATTTCTAGAAACATGAACTACCAAAGCTCAATCAAGAAGATATAACAATTTTGAATAACCCAATGTCAGCTACTGAAATCAAAAATGTGATTAAAAACTTACCAACAAAGAAAAGTCCAGGTGCTGATAGATTCATGCCTGAATTAAAAAAAAGAAATTTGGAGAAGGTTTAATGTGAACACTCCTTAAGCTCTTCAATGAAATTGAAAGAAAATCAGTTCTCTCTAAATCATTCTTGAAGGCAAGTATTACACTGATACCAAAACCAGAGAAAGACCTAACCTAAAAGGAGAACTATAGGCCAATCTCACTAATGAACATTGATGCAAAGATTCTCAATAAAATAATGGCAAATATAATAAAGCAAATCATCAAGAAGATTATACACCATGACCAAGTGAAATTTATTCCAAGAATGCAGGGATGTTTTAACATACACAAATCAATACATGCAATATACCACATCAACAGAGCCAAAAATAAAAATCACAGGATCATCTCAGTAGATGCAGAAAAAGCTTTTGATAAAGTCCAACACTTGTTTATGATAAAAACCCTACAAAAACTCGAAATACATGGTGTCTATTTCAATCTCATAAAGGCCACTTGTGACAATCCAATAGCCAATACTATATTACATGGACAAAAACTGATAGCATTTACTCTAAATTCAGGAATAAGACAAGGATGCTCACCTGGTATCACCACTTCTATTCAATATAGTTCTAGAAATACTAGCCAGAACAATCAGACAAGAGGGAGAAATAGAAGGAATAAAAATATGAAAAGGATTAAATTATCATTATTTGCAGATGACATGATATTCTATATAGAAGAACCAAAAATCTCCATTAAAAGACTACTAGAGGTAATAAACAAATTCATCACCATATCTGGATACAAAGTTAACATTCAAAAATTAATAGCATTCCTGTACACAAACAAGAAACTCACTAAGAGAGAAATTATGGAAATATCACCTTTCATAATAGCATTAAAAAAAATCAGATACTTAGGAATCAACCTAACCAAGAATGTAAAAGATCTATATGCTGAAAATTGTACTACTCTTAAAAAGGAAATTGAAGAGGATATTAGAAAACGGAAGTATATTCCTTGCTGTTGGCTAGGAACAACCAACATTGTGAAAATGACCATACTCCCAAAACTGTTATACAGATTCAGTGAAATCCCAGTCAAAATACCATCAACATACCATAAAGGATCTAGAGAAAATATTCCTAAAATTATTTGGAAACAGAAGCAATCTAGAAGAGAAAAAGCAATTCTGGGCAAAAAAGGCAAGACAGGAGGCATATCAATTCCTGAGTTGGAAATAAGTACAAAGCCACAGTAATAAAAATAGCATGGTACTGGCAAAGAAATAGACCTGAGGCTCAATGGAGCAGACTAGAAGATACAAATACTACTACAAAGACACTCAGCCACCTCAATTTGACAAAAGGGCTAAATATGCTCACTGGAAAAAAGATATCCTCTTTAATAAATGGTGTTGGAAAAATTTGCTTTCCACATGCTGAAGACTGAAAATAGACCCATGCCTATCACCATACAATAAACTAAAGTCAAAATGGATCAAGAATCTAAACATTAAAACAGAAACACTAAATCTACTTCAGGACAAGGTAGGTAGAAATCTTGGAGACATTGGGTTATGCAAAAAATTCATGAATAAAGTGCAAACCACATGGGAAATACTTCAAAGAATCAACAACTGGGATTTCATATTACTAAAAAGTTTCTGCCCTTCAAGAGAAATCACCAACAAAGTGAAAAGAAAACCCAAATAATGGGAAAGAATTTTAGCTAACAATTCCTAAGACAAAACAGTTATATCGAGAACATATTAAAGAACTGAAAATCATTTAACCCCCCAAATTCAAAGACCCTCTCCAAAAATGGGCATCAGAGATGAACATACAGCTCACAGATGAAGATATAGAAATGACAAATAAATACATGAAGAAATGTTCACCATCACTGGTCATTTGAGAAATACAAATTAAGACAACATTGAGATTCCATCTCACCCCAGAAAGAATGACTGCTATCAAGAAGACAACTGGCAACAAATGTTGGCAAGGATGCGGGGAAAAAAGGAACACTTCTCCACTGATGGTGTGTGCAGATTGGTGTAACAACTGTAGAAATCAGTATGGAGATTTCTCAAAAAACTAGGATTGGAAGTTCCATTCAATCCAGCTATTCCCTTACTAGGTATTTTCCCAGAAAAATTGAATAGTTCATGTGACAGAGATATATGTCCACCCATGTTCATAGCAGTACAATTTGTGATAGCTAAATCTTGGAAACAACCAAAATACCCATCAACTGCAGAGAGGATGAAAAAAAAGTGGTATTTTATACAATGGAATACTACTCAGCTACAAAAAGGATGATCTTGAGGCCTTTATAAGT